GCATGTCATAAGCATTTGAATATAAATTAAAATGTTGAAATCAAATCTGATATTGTTTTACCTTTCATTTGGTGTGTGGAAGGTGTGCGGAAGAGGGGGTAGTCTTATACGGTGAGTATATAACAAACTCTGTATTTTGAGTGGAAATGTTAGGGGGTCGTCTTATACGCCCAGTCGTCTTATACGCCAGCAAATACGGTATTTGTTCCAGTTGCTTAATATCATCCACACCTCTGTACTTAGGATTCCCGATTTATGACTCCAACTTAGATCTCTTCCTTGAGTGGTAGATTTATATAGTCAGTTGCTTCCTGGACATCTTAACTTGGATGTTTTACAGGTGCCTCAAATTCAGTGTGTCCAAAAGAAAATTCACTGTCTTTGTATCTCTCTTCACAACCCCTGGTAACCTCTATTCTACTTTCTGTCTCTTTGAATTTACGTATTCTAGAGACCTCAAATAAGTGGAATATAGTATTTATCCTTTTGTGTCTGGTTTATTTCACTTATAACATTTCAAACATTAATGCATGTTGTAACATGTATAAGAATTTCACTCCTTTTTATGGCTGAATAATATTCCATTGTATGTATATACCCTAATTTGTTTATTCATTCATCTATCAATGAATATTTGGGTTGTTTCTACCTTTTGGCTGATGTGAATAATACTGCTATGAACATTAGTAAACAAGGATCTGTTTGAGTCCCTATTTTCAATTCTTTTGGTCATATACCTAGGAGTAAAATGCTAGATCATATGGTAATTCTATGTTTAACTTTTTGAGGATTCCCCAAACTGTTTTCTCTGATTTACATTTAAATATAACATTCTGTGTCCTGCTATGTTGAGAATAGACTGAAAAGAGCAAAAATAGAGTCTAGGAGACCAGTTAGGAGGCTATGGTAGTAATCCAAGGGAGAGATAAGAGTGGTTCAGGCCAGGCGTAGCAGTGTAGGTGTTCTAATTCTGGATATGTTTTTAAGGAAAACCAACAATACGGGATAAGGAGAGGAGGAATCAAGGATGATGATAAAGTTTTTGTAGGGTAGAGATCATAGCAGGTGGTGCAAGTTTGGAGTTGAAGATAAGTTCATGTAGTTTGAGATTTCTGTTAGACATCCAAGTGAAGATATTGAGTAGGAAGTTGCATATACAAGCCTGGAATTAGAGCGGTCTGGGCTGCATATAAAATTTGGGAATTGTCAGCATATACATTATAATTTAAAGCTTATGAGCTAGATATGATCAGCATCAAGGAAAGGAATTAGGTAGACAAAAGAGGACTGAGCCATAGAGAGCTCTAACATAAAGAGATCAGGGAGAAGAGGGTGAACTAGCCAAGGTGTCTAAGAAGAAGCAACGATGAAGTAGGAGAAAATCTAGGAGAGCCTGGCACCTTGGAAGCCAAGTGAAGAAAGTGTATCAAGGTTGAGGAAGTGTTCAAGTTTATAAATTGTGTCATTCATTCTTGATTTGTTATTTTTACTCCAAAAAAGAGAAGTAAGGGTAGCCATTGGCCGAGAAAGAGGGAAATGCGAAGGTAAGTTAAGAATATTGAAACTTTCCAATAAATGTCTACATAATTGGAATGTTCGTGGGAATAGAAGAGAGATGCATAAATGTCTACTGTAATCTAAAACTGATTTTGGCCATTTATTGGGGAATGTGTTATTTTGGAGAGGGATAGAAATGGTGACATTTTTATTTGACTTTTGTAATGCCTTTTTTTCTTTGTTGTAGAAAATTTGCTGGAAATCATATTGTTCAAACACAGTTGATGAATGACTTGTTGGTAGGCATTCGAGTTTCAGTGATGTTAGTACAGAAAGCACAAGGCCTCCAGAGAATTCATTTGAAGATTTCTGGTTCTCCCACATGGCAGAGTATGTGTGGATTGCTGAGTATTTTCACCAAGTTTTTAAGTGATGGTAAGTGTAAAAACATACAAATGATGATTATAATTGTCACTCAGCTTTTGCTAATAATGGTATGAAATATACAATACTTAACTGAGATATAGAACTTTTCCTCCCCTAAACCTTCAATGTGGGGAAAAGCACTGGATTAAAAGGTTTTAACGCTTTTTCTTTCAAATGTATCAATTCAGCAAGGGATAATGATGAAGTCTTTTCTAAACGTGTGTGTGTGTGTGTGTGTGTGTGTATTGTATACAAAGAAGAAAACCTAATAATCTTAGTGTTGAAAGGCCATAGACTTTAAGTAGCAAAAGAAAATTCTAAAGAGGAAATTTCCAAATTTGAGGAAAGATCTGGAAATGTTAGTGTAACCCATACATTTCTTCTTAGCAGCAGGTATTCTCTTCAAATGATGACAGTAGTCATTGTGGGGCTGGTCGTTATTCCTCCGTATAGCTCATATGTTGCTTCTGTCCACATGAACTGTACTACTGGGAAGCCAAATTTAATGAGTGGAAATGTCTCTTTATAAAAGTATTTCAACTAGTGAATTAAAATGAAATGATAGAATTTGAATATCCATATTTAGTAACCCCCAAGGAACTGATGGAGGCATTAGGCATCAACAGCTGCTAACATTACAGAAACAGACAACCAGACATGTACCCCTTAGAGTCTTGCTTTTACCATCTATAGTCTTCCCAAAGGGATTAATTTGAGACTGATTCCATCTCTAGGTCACCCGCCAATGTGCAGGAATTACAGAGGACAGAGGAACATGTTGAGCTGCACTGAGAGTAAACAAATGCAACATTCAGATTGTGGGAAACTCTACAGAGGCCAGAGTTTTCGACACAGAAATTGTAACGAAAAGAAAGGGACAGTGAGGGCACATGTAGATTAAAAGACACTTAAAGACATACCTAATTTTTAGAAAAATGGACAAGACTAAACTACAGTAAGTCCCCAACTTACAAACGAGTTCTGTTCCGGGAGAACGTTCGTTAAGTCAGATTTGTTCATAAATCCGACAAAGTGAGTCTTATACACCTTTGACACAAATATACAATGTAAAGCCAGTGGTTGAACGATTCGTGATATAAGAACGAGCCACGTCTACCATCTTTTCACCTCTGTCCAATCTCTCAATTATTTTCACTTTTGTTTCCATGGTTATTGCTTTGCGCTTCCTAGCAGTCCCCTCCACATCACCACTGNCGGCTGCTCAGCTCGGGCTGACTCGAACCGCTGTTGCTCAGAGCTCAAACTCTTGAGCGAGCTCTTAACCAACTGAGCCACTCAGCCGGCCCTGAGCCAGCTCTTTTCTACTACGTTTTCTGGCTAACACCAGTCATTACATCATTGTAATGATGCTAATTTTGGTCCTGAAAGTCCTTACCAGTGTTAATTTTCCCCCCCCACAGGTATAACAAGTGTTAATAATCTTCTTAAAAATGGTAAGTCCTATTACTTTTGTTTTATTTTGAGAGGTGACTGCTTGTGTGAGTCATTTTGGAACTGGTTCTTTTAAGTTTCTTGGCAGTGGGTAAAGTACTGTAAATAAGTAAGGTACATCATGCTCCTTTCTTTTAAATTTCTACTTCTATATGAGTGATTTAAAATATTTTCTTGTGCTGAAGTTAAATTTCACAGTTTTTTACATTCTGATTTGTCATTCTTTTTGTTTCAGTGCTTCATTTTTTGCAGAAGAGTTTAATTGAAATCTCGGAAGAAAATAGGCAAGTTTTATATGTTTGCATGCTTGTGCCTGTGTGTGTGCATACTTGCAGTTATGCATTGTTTTTGTACAAAAGAAACTTTTAAAAACTTTTAGAAAGTGCCCCTTTCTATCCCTCTCCATTAATGGTGGACCTGATTATTTAAATTTATTTTTTTGGAGACTCAATATTTAATTTAAAAAAAGCAAATAAATTATTATGAGAACAAATGACAAAAGGAAGAGCTTTTTCCTCTACCTGAGTGTTCCTTTTTCATAGCATCCTGTTCTTATTTCATGGATGAAGTATGCTCTATTATCTCCTGAGCATATTAATGGTAGTTTTTGTTTGTTTGTTTGTTTGTTTTAAGTTTTTAAAATCTTTACATAGCCTCTATTTCTTCCATGTTGCTTTTTTTCTGTTTGCTGATTTTGGTCGCTGTATTTATTGCTAGAAGCTCTCTTCAGGAGTCCGGTAATCTTTGTCCGAGCAGAGCACTCATATTTAAGAATGGTGCACTGAGAGTTGATTTGAATCTCTGTGCATATGGGTGTCGTTAGTTGCAGGTTTTATTGTAAGCTAGTCTAGCTGGGCTCTGACTTTGGGGAACTCCTGATGTCAATATCAATATCTTTAGGTCTTTTTGCATGGGTAGTAGATTCACCATGGAAGTATCTTCCAAACCATTGGCTTAATATTCTGATTGCTGCGTGAGAGATAAGAAAGCTGAAGTTTTGGCACTTAGCATTCATTTTGCATATATTTACCTAATTCTCCTGTTTGCAATAAAGTATTGCTGCCTTATCTGTGTGAGCTGTCTTCCTGTCCAGACACCTGCTGTTTTACCTTCTTTAGAGGTAAACCAGTTGATTGCTGGCTTGGAGTTACGATCCAGAGTTTTAATTTTTTTTAACAGACTGGTAGCCAGTCTTCCTGTTTTCAGCCCTACCTTCACCTCCACATCAAGGAGTATCTGGTGCCCACATCCCTTAGCCTTTTGGGTCTGCACATCAGGTTGCTTCCAGGCTTGTTCTGTGGCTTGGTAGTCGCCTTTCTTGATTATGCTAAGTCAGCTGTCATTCATCCATCTGCTTTGTAGCTTCTATAATTTTATTGTCTCACTGTCTGTTTGTTATCCTTGTGTATGTACTCATTTATCTTTTTACGTTTTAAATCCCTTGGTTGTGGTTTAGGGAAATTCTGGGGAGAGTAGAAGTGATATCTGTGTGCCACCTTTAATCCAGTGTCTCCTCCTGCCTCACCAGGAAGGAGCTCCTTCTCTTTCTCCTTGTAGGTTCTTCTTTCTCTGCTCATCTCCTAAATGTAGATTCTGTCCTTTTTAGTCTACCGTATTTGCCGGCATATAAGACGATTTTTTGGCCCTGAAAAATATGCCTCCAAGTGGGGGTCGTCTTATACGCCAGGTACACTTCAGATAGACTGCCCATAGTGCTTGCCCCGTGCCATAGTGGCCTCCCGATGCCCG